GAAACGCTTAAACAGCAAAAGAGCAAATGAGTACTACTAGGCAAGTCAATGACTTCCATGTACAGAAATCACAAGAAACTAAAATATGTATTAAAGTAAATGCCTTGCAACACATCCTACTGCAAGTTGTGTACTGATCTTCACATTTCAGAGTCTATTCCTTAAAATGAATGATATTTTTACAGCTCAATACTACATCAAATACTATGTTAGTTTACTTGCTCCAAATTACTTTTTTTTTTCAGGTTCCAGCTGCCATCATCATATTGAAACAGCTATTTTGCTCCGTGAGCTTAAGTCTTACTTTGAACCAATCAGTCTTTGCTCATCACAAATGTCCTCACTATATCTTTATGAAGGATTAGAATCAACAACCACAGTAGAAATAAATTAATGGGAATGTATCTAAAATACTAAGCATAAGAAATCATTTCTCTCCTATTTAAGACACGTGCATACACCTAAGTTGAGGGGGCCCAAATTTGACAGATTAACTGTGATAGCACTAAAGAAATGCTCTAGTCATGACAAATACTTGTTGTTGACTTAGAGAAAGTCACAAGAGATAGGACCTTCTATAACCACTAGAGCAGAACTGTCATTTTGTCTGGTTTAATTATAATTTTTTTTCTTTTAACAAATAAAAGAGTTCTGCAAAACAGATGTATATCCTATTGAAGGCTACTCTTTACCTTTTGGTTCAGTGAACCTGTCACCTAAAGCCTATACGGCAAACCAGCTTGTGATGATCAAGCCTACAAATACTTCTTACCCCTCTCTTGCAAGCTGGTACTGCCAGGCAGAACATGGCTGATGCTCCCTGCTTTTATATGAAGAAGAGGAACTGCTTGCTGGATTCCCTGTAAGCAGTTTGGATTTCCCTGTAAGCAGTTTCCATTTCGAAAAGCAAGCATCAGATCTTAGCGAGGCTGAGGACTGTAGGGGGGAGGGAACTGATAATTCCTGACTTCATCATGACCCTTCCTATGAATGCAAAAAGAACTGCATTTTGGCAGGAAAAAAAATGCCTGCATGTGGAGAATGATAAAATCCAGTAGTAGCTCAGACTAAATAGCGTACGAGAATCCAGGCCTGCAAACCAAACCATATGTTACTCAGCAAGACTCTTACCCCTCTTAGACAAGATGGCATCACAGTCATGTCAATGCCACTTCGTGAACCAGGATTATTTTCCTACCCAGATCCTTAGGGAGCTTGACCCAGTGGCAGAGAGCTTCAAAAACAATATCAGGAATTCCCCAATCTATGGCTTCATTTCACTGGAATCCCAGCAAATCCCCAGATCTCTGCCCAGCTCACACAGTCTACCTGCCACCAGCATCAACCCTGCTTGCTCTCACCCATCCTCTCAGCTCAGCCACTTTCTCTATTCCTCCACTGCACAGCACAAAAGCAAGGGAGAACCTTCTGTGACCAACACATTAACAGAGGTTTAGCGACAAAATCCCACCAGGCTTTAAACACAATCCTCTGAAATGCAAATAAACTGAAACAAGAAAATGTAAGCCTGGTGAAAGAACAAAACAAACCAAATTGAATCATCCAGCAACACACATTCCATTAAATAAAACACCTCCTGACTTATTTTTTAATTCTTGATTTGTGACAACTGACTTCTGACATCCAAAACCAGCTTTAAAAGATGAAGAAACGAAACAACTGCTGCAGCCTTAGAGACCAAGGAGACTGCTAACTGAAAATTTGAGAAATCTTCACTGGTGATGAGCAAGTTTTCAGGGAGTACCCATCTCATCCTGCCTTTGCAAGCTAATACAACTAGCGAAATGACCAGTGAAATCATCAGAACAGAAACACAGATTTCTTTTAATGCTCATAGTAGTTCTATTTTTCTCTATGAAGATACAAGAGCAGAGAGCCCTTCAATGAGAAACTCCTATTAATAAAAAAGTACTTGGGAAAATTAAGAGTAGTGAAATTTTTGCTTTGGGTTGAAATCGGATTTGCACTTTCAAACACATACCATTTAAAAAAAAATTATTCCCACTTTTAAAAGCAAAATGGTGTTTTTGCTGAGAAAATCTAGAAAACCAAAATAAATCAATAAAACCCGATCTGACAAGCATGTTATAAGACAGAGATTTTTTTCCCTCTGTGAAAACAATAGCTTTGGAGAAGGTCCACATTGCATCATTTAATGATAAATAACTAAAGTGAGGGCAGTGGTTGGCACTGCTGTCACACGCAATGAAATAACACTCTCCCCCCGAGGAGCCATTTCCAACTGACACAACTGAGCTCACACCAAACCCCAGGTATTTTTTATGCCGTCAACTTCTCTCTGAGTCATTAAGATGCTTTTATATTTAGGCAGAAATCTACTAGATGTCTTTTATCTAAGCAGCTGATATCTATCTCTCTCTGGTTAAGTACACAACATTTGAAAAGCATTTTCTTTGTCCAGAAGGCCACGAGAATTTTAGCCATAGAGATGTGCAAATTTTGCTGAGGGCTTCTCATCACTCTGATAGAGGCAAAAGTCCCTCTTCCCAGTGATCTTCAAGTAAGTGAATATAATAATTAAAACCAAAAAAAAGTAGCCAAGTCAGACAAAATAAGGATCAACACTTTTGCTCATAAACCAGAGTATTTTTCAGACCAGAATAAGTTAATGTCCCCTCCATCAAAATTTCTTTTAAATACTGCGCTTTAGAGGAAGATGGCTAAAGCATTACTAGAGGGATTTCTCTGTAGTATTCCTAACCAAGGTGATTCAGAAACCCTGAAAAAAGGGTTCAGAAAAAAGTAATAATGTCCAAAATCCCAAGACCAAGTTCCACCCTAACTCTGGCTGTTTCCTCATCTAAATTGCACTTACCCATACTGAAGAACTATTGTTAAGGTATTACTGATAGTTTAATATTCTGAACAGACTGCAAAAACAACCTATTCATGGTGCAGATGGACTCAAACTAAACCCTCAGATCCAAATACCATGACCAGAGCCTGGGTCCAACCCCTGTGGATGGTCTTTATTTTGAATAACAAAGTGAACCAACACCTTAGACACCAGCACCCCTCCGCCTTGCTGGGCTGAAATCTGGGGGTAGATCTGGTAGGTTTAGAGGTCTATTCTGAAGACCTACTGCGAGAAAAAAAAATAAAATCAAAATCTATTAAACTCCAGATTCAAAAGAAACAAGTCTTTCAGGAGAGGAGAGCATGTGGGAATAGAGGCTGTTTTGGCAAGTGATGGCCTGTGACAAAGCCAAAGGCCCGTTACTCGTTCAACTGGTTTGTTGCTCATGGTATTGTCCTCTCCAGAAACACTCATTGCCAGCCACAAGCAATTGTAAAACATATTTTATGTGATGCTGTTGTGTGGATTTTAAATTCGGTGTTTGCTTTTGTTCCTCACTCAAAAGCATCAGCGTCTTAATCAAAGTGTCTGCGATCCGATACGCTATCTTCCCTATTTTTGTTTTATTACAGTCTTTTTTTTCTATTTTGGGGTGGTTTCTGGATGCTTGGCTGTGAGATTCCCTCCTCTCAGTCTTCAAAATTCTTCCTGAGAAATACCTCTCTATCTGGTACCTAGTTACTGCAGTAATAGTCACCTTAGAAACATCATAAATACACAATTAAATAGGAGCCCATTCCAAAGCCCATTAAAGTCAGTAAAAATTTTTCCATTGACTTCAATGAGCTGTGGGATCAGGCCCCAAAATACTTTCAATACATTTTTTTCCATCTATAGACTGCTAATACAGAACATATTCCATTTTTTACATTTCTCCACTAGCATCCCTGCCCTGATTTCCTTGCCTCGAGACACACATTGCTGCATTAAGATGCACTCTCTTCCCACGCCAGTCTCCAAGGGGCCAGATTAAATCCCACCCCTACTGCACTTCGGTACCATTGGTACCATGCCTATTTATTCCCTTTTCCAAAGCTTTCATCAGAAGGATGTGCTGGCTTAGTTGTTTGGTAAAAGATTTTTAAACTCTTTATCTACTTTCTGTTACCTGTCTGCGCAGAGGGATTCGCTTTGTCAGCTTATGGACAGCGGGCTGGCTGCTGAAATCCGGCTTCTTGGTGGTGTTCTTCATGCGGCACAGGATGACCGTCAGCACCATGCAGGCAATTAAGAAGACCCCTATGCAGTAAATTGCTATTTCCAGGTAGTCTGGAGATGTCGGATATTCTTTTTCTTTTTCAGGAGCTGGATTGGAAGTTTTTAGGAGGGAACAATCATACCACAGAGTTAGCACAGGGTGCAAGTATAGTTCAGTACAGCGCTTGGAACAACTTGAAATGGTAAAATAGCAGCAATTTTCGCAGTGACTGCGTGACATACAGAACACTGTAAGTGTTTAGGCCATCTTGCCATCTGAGAGTAATTCCTCTTTCTAGATCACTGCTTTGACTTCTCAGTTTGCCATTAAGTGTGAGTTTGGGCATGTAGGTGTACATATATAGGCACATACATGTGTCTGCCTAGATAGGTAGATACATATACATTGAAATATTGGATAAGAAAGCATACTTTTAAGGGGAAAAAAGAAAAACCTGAAGTGTTCAAGCTAGGCTCAGGTTCATTTTGTTGCTAGGTAGATACATATACATTGAAATATTGGATAATAAAGCATACTTTTAAGGGAAAAAAGAACACTGAAGTGTTCAAACTACACTCAGGTTCATTTTGTTGCTCAAGTCAAAATTCAAAAGCACTTTAATGCTTTTTAATGACATAAAGACACATTTAAAGAGAAAATATTGAATTAGCTAGCCTAAAAGAAAAGCGTCTAAATTTGCAAAAAGACATTTGGGCTTGAGTCTGTACAGCCTGTTTATACAAAATTTTCTCTGGGACCTCAAAATACAGAGGGAAGGCAGGACGAATCCGTCCCTCACCACGTTTCCTAAATTCAGGTTAGAGATTTCAAGAGTGTTTCAAGGACCCGGCAGCCCAGCTGCTCAACTTGCTGCAGTTCATGCCGGGTGCCTAACTCCACTGAGGTCCTCTGAAGAGCCCAGTGTTGGATTAAAAAGTGTAATGCAAGCAAAAGCTGAGTTGCTAGCAATACGTTAATTAAGGAGCCCTCTTTTGTGAGGACTGCATATTTCAAGTAACCTCATCAGTGGTTACTAGTCTATGAGATTAGATTTTAGTGGGAGTGGTTCTACATAGCTGTTACTCTGATTGAAACCATGTTGAAATTATCTTCAAGACAGTTATATGTGCAAACACTGTCCCTAATCCCTTATCTGGGATTCAAGCCCCAGATAAACAGCATTCCACAGCAATCGGCGGTCACTCCGCAAGCAATGCACATTCAAGCTGAAATTTTCTTGTGCCTCATTCTAGGCTTATAAAAATATTTCATTCAAGAAAATTGGTTAAGAAAAAAAATGCTGTTCAAGCACTTGCCAGATGCAAACACTGCTAGCAGAAGCAAGCTCTACACAAGCACTGCTTTGCCTGCTTGGTGACAGACCACGCAGGCTCGGTGTTCACCTAAGAGTGACATGTAATGACGTTGCCTTGCCCAATATATTTTAATAAAGGGTAAGAAATTATCTGCAGAGAGTGGGAACGTTTCACTCCTGTAATATGAACCTCAGCAATATGCACATGCAGGGTTTGTCCCTTCTACTTGGGATTAACAATTAATAAACGGTAAGCACAAGACGACTCAGCAAACCTCAGGTGGTTCATGTTTTTTCAAAAGAACTCCTAAGGCAGCTGCCAACAGTTATAAATGAGAAAATTTGACCAGTGTCAAAACCAACTACAGTTACATCTTCTAACAGCTGAGAACAATTTTCAGACAATAAAGCACATTGATGTTTGTTTCTTTTAAGGACAGAAACATCATCAACCCCAGAACAGCGAGACATGCTTTGCAGTAAAAGCAAATGACTACTTGTTTTCTTAGAGCATGCAATGTTTAAAGATGCACGGAGCCGATTCCCAAGATATGGAAGGCACTGCTTCTGTACATGATCCATTGGCATTAAAATTAGAATTTCCACATAAGATCTGGATAACAGGTAAAAGTGAATTTAAGTACACTAAATAGCTCAGGTATTTTGATGAGCCAGTACATAATTGTGGCCAAATTAGTTCCAAAGCTGCATGAGAAGCTTTGAATTTCCTCCTCTTGAAAAAGTTTACAATGATTAATGCTGATTTTCAGTTATCTCACTGAAGTGCTAAGGAAACGCAGCTCCTTAGCATTTCTGATGAATGTTTAACAGATGTACAAATGTTTCCATTGAGCACAATAGACATTCCCTCCCCCCTTTTTTTGTTGTTGTTGTTAGGTTTTGGAGTTGCAAATATGTGACAAGACAATTCACTGGCTTGAGACAACTGTGTTTAAAAAAAATCATTGTAAAAGTCCTGAGACAGAAGCTGTGCTAATTCTGCAGCAATCAACAAGGGGGAAAAAAAAAAAAAAGAGGAAAAACCACGGAAAGAGAGCAGTGTATACCTGGCAGAACTGTCAACCATGCAGTGTGAAAGGATATCCCAATAGAATTACCCGCCAAGCATGTATACTCCCCAGCATCCTCAAAAGTTACATTCCGTATATAGAGAACCTCAATTTCTTTGTCCGTAGTGTTAACACCGGCAGCCTAAAAAAAAACAGAAGAGGGAAGCAAGAGAAAAAGCTAGACATCGAGAGAATTCTTGTGGATAGGGAGATGGAGCCACAGGGCTTTGCACTTTGTAGAGGCAGAGGTGCAGAGATGCAAAGCTCCTTCCCCATCCACAATCCCTCATCCGAAAGGCGTTTACCAACAGGTCCCAGCTCACCTCAGAAAGTAATCAACACCCTTCACCAGACCTAAACTCACCACCTAAACATGCATGCAATCAAATGACATGGAAAAATTAACCCACAAAGCTTTTTTTTTCTTCTTCTTCTTTTTTTATTGAAAGGAAGTTGAAAGAAAAACAAAGAGAAAACAAAGTAGGACAGAATCCAGTATCCTTTACGTGTAGCTACCTGTTTCACAGGAAAGAATTTACTATAAAAATATACTCTGAAAGGATTAAAAAAAAAAAGTAAATTCTGAGGACACAACTCAGTAGCTGTTTTAAGCAGCGTACAGTCCTTGCATCATCCACTGCACTACAGTTAAGTATTGTACACTGTGCAGCATTGCCAAATCTCAGTTTAATCTGACGTCTGGTAACGTTCAGTGACTTGTTTAGAAGCACAGTGGAGAGAGTAGGAAGGTAGCTCAGGTCTTGTTCAAAAAAGATCAGTTGTAGCTCTTGGAGATGTGGAGAAAAAACAGACCCCAAAGGTTCAAAAACCAGGAGATGGAAATAAAATATGTTGCTCTAAATCTTAGCGAGTTTAAAAAAAACCCACCTTGCTAAATCTCTGGCTTGACAAGTCATTATGCACCAAAGCAAACACTGTATCAGTGATCATCCAAACTTGCACAAATAGAGTGAATCTATTTGGATTTAGATGGTAGATCTGGATCCGGAACTTTCCAGCTGTCCCAAGATGGGCACAGCAGGGCATCAGTGTCAAGGTCTATATGATGTGACGTGGGAAGTTACAAGTGACTAAACTGACCTGACTTATGCTTCACTGAGTACTTATGTTAACATTTCATATGTATTTATTACATATGTGTGTATGTATATATAAATATACACTAATTAGGTCATAATCACATTATTCAGTGAGTATCCTCTATGTGAACTGCAAAGTATGCAGCATTAACAACAAAACTGGACGTAAACACACAGACACAAAGACACCAAACACAAGACAGAATAAAGATCAGCGTCAGAAAACAGTGCTTATGGAACACACAGAATATTGTGGGAATTTTTCCATGGCTGCTGGTGTAATACCAGTTGCATCACCAAAGGAGGATTACACATATACCACAAGGCCAAAGAGTTATCCTACAAGCTGCCTGCAGTCTCCCAAAGCACCATTTTTTCCAGCTTCTACATCCAGCTTGCTTTAAAAAACAGTGTTACCTTGTATACTTGGCAGAACAGAGAGCCAGGCAGACTGGTTGGCCTCCCCTATATAATTGGAGACCTTACAAATATATTCTCCAGCGTCCGCCTCTGTCACATTGTACAGTGTCAGCACTTCAGCATTGGAACTATTTATCCCCGAATGCTAGAATAGACCAATAACACAGGAGAACAATGTCACTGCTGCCCAAAAAGGACACCAATCTGTCTACGGTCCCACCACCAACACGTCATAAGAATACGCCTTCCAATTCATAGAGGTATCAGTGTCAAAACATTGAGGGTTTGGGGTTTGTTTGGGGTTTTTTGTTGTTGTTCGTGGTTTTTTAAAATCCAAAGCATCACAGGAGAAGTTAGAAAACAGCAGCATAGGGGGGAAAAAACCACCTGGGCTGGTACATCGGCTGTGTGGAACACGACGGTATAGAGCTGGCTGTCCTGCCTGCCAACACGCCGAGTTTTGGCAATGCCACCCAGCTCGGAAAAGCCTTGGAGTTTCCTTGGTCAGGCTTGCTCAAAATGCCTGCCAGCAGGAACAACACCACCGACACGCCAGCGAAAAATGGTCGTCTCTGAAGGCTCAGCATCCAACAAACCCAACCCTGCCAACAAGCTTTTGGCAGTAGGTGCCACGTTACTTTGAGATAAAGAGGCTGAAGAAAGGTGAAAGAAATGGAGCAGACTCTCCCGGGTATCTTTTGGACGCGCTGTACCGAAACGTAAATGTCAATGATGTTCTTTAAAAGGGTTTTCATTCTTTTCTGAATAAGTCATGCCTGAAACATTCAGAGATAAAGGACTTCACAGAAGTAAAAAAAGAGCAAAACTGTCTATAAACTTCACAATTAGCATTTAGACTATCAAATGTTTATCTAACTCATTCTTTCACTTGTAACATAAACACTTCCATTTTCAAAAGAAGTTCAGATCTCAAAATTCTTGGATTTACATCAAATAAATTCAACACTTTAAAAAAGTCGTCACCATCGCCGGCAGCTGTAAAGCCTCACCTTTAAAACCTGAAGATACGGCAGTCCATCTGGTCCGTATTTACTGCCGTTCTTCTCTACATGTTTTATCCACTGAATATGAGGCTGAGCATCACTGTAGACTTTGCAGACAAACTCCACGTCACCTCCGACGACTGCAGAGGCATTTGCTGGAAGGCCAGCTTGGAGGATGGGTCTGTGCGGTGATCGCTCTGTTCAGGTGGGGAGGGGGAGCGAGGAGGAGAGAGAGAGAGAAATAAAGATGCATAAATAAGTAGAGCTGCCAAGAAAACTGTAAGTGAACTCGAGCCAAAAAGCCCTGTAAGCTTGTTGGCTGACTCCTCCGAAATAACACTGCAGCCAAAACGTAGAACAAAAACTACAGTTCAAAGGAGATGACTTGAGCACTACACTTGTAATATAAAGAATAGCTATTTGGGGGGAGGGGAGAAACAGTGCTTAAAAACTTTAAGCATTTTTCATAGCTCAACTCAGCAAGAAATAAGTAAAACATCATTTATTTTTTTTTTAAACTATTGTAGTAAGTACCTCTGAGATTCATAATATTCTAATTGGATCAAACCTCCATAAATTAGGAAGAAAGATTATTGATTGAGGTGTTTGCTTTTTTTTAAAAAAAAAAAACACTAAACCAAAAAAAAAAACCCAAAACAAAACAAAACCACAACTGATTAATGTATTACAATAAACCAAACAGTATTTCTCTAAACTAGCAGCAGAAGCCTCAGCACTGAAACTCCTTGTGCGGGATGCACATACCAAACAGCTGGACTTTTCAAAACACTCTGACCAGTACTACCATGATAGCTGCTCTTACTTCACCCAGACACAGCAGCAGAAACATCAGTTCCTTCTTATTCTGAGCAGGACACAGGGAAACAAGGAGTTCTCTGGAAAACTGCAGTGTACTTGACGTGAACCAATAGAGCTTTTCATCTATGGACTTGCTTAAGCATTTATCAAATGTTGTTGGTCAAGCTGACACCACCGAATATACCAAGCACGTCCTGTATCATCTGGGTACCCAGACAGCCAATGCA